ACAGATCAATGGAACAGAACAGAAACCCAGAATGCTCAATTGACTTTTGGCAAAGATGAAAAGCAACTCAGTGGAGAAATAATAGCCTTTCCAGTAACAAATGGTGCTGGAGACATCCACCCATACAAAATAGAAATTAAAAAAGAACCTAAATATAAGTTTCATAGCATTTTCTTTTACAAAAAGAAATGCTCAAAGTGGGACACAGGTTTAAATGTAAACCACATAATTTTAGGAAAAAAAAAATGGAGAAAGTCTTTGCGATCTGTGGCCAGACCAAAAGTTCTCAGACTTAAAAAAGCAAATTCTTTTAAAGGAAAAACTGATTAGCTAGAGGATAAGATGGCACTGGAGAAAATAGTTATAAATCATTTAATCCACAAGGACTAATATCTAGACTGGTAAGAAATACCAACTGTTTTATTCCTTAGACATGAATTCTAGAGTTCTACTGATGGTAGATTTGCGTCCTTCTCCCTCAAGCCCTGGGAGACACTGGTAAGACTATCACAGCCCATTGAGGGAACCATAACCTTCATTACATCAAAGAGTCTAAGTAGGATGTTCTTTAAGGCATTCACTTATGATCCTGATGGGGGCAGCAACAGGGCCTGGACAATCCAGCCAGGTTCTGTGACATCATTAGCTATTAGGAGCCGTTAATACCAATCAACCTCAACAAACATCAAATAAAACCAGCCAAGTCCATTTGGCAATAACTGAAAAGAAATCTATTCTGTTTCTGCATAAGTTTTTATACTATAAAGAGTTAACAAACTGTTATGGCTTGTGTCTGGACACCTCCCCCACAAAAGCCTCATGCACTCATAGGTGGGGCTTTCAGAGGTAGCTGAAGCTAAGGCATGTGAATACGGATTAAGTGTATGTGATAACTAAATTAGTCTACAGATTGGTTTATCATTGCTCTGGGTGTAGATAAAAGGAAAGCCCCATCCTGGGTGTGGCTGGCACCCATTAACAGGCTTACAGCCTGGGTAAGAATATACAGAGAAAGATGGGAGGCAGGTAGCTTCTGCTAGCTGTTTTCTGCCTGCCTTGTCATGGACTGTTTCTCCTCTGTATGCCCCTCTACCATGCCACTCTGCCTTGGAGCCAGCTGACTACGGACTGAAACTTCTACAAAGTGCAAGCCCAAATAAACCTTTCCTCCTCTAACTTGTGGGTGTCAGGTATCTTGTCTGAGCAGTGAAAAGAGTAACCAAGAAATAAACCTTCACATTTTTTTAAGCCAAAGCCTTCAAACCTTCCTTACCTGCTGTACCAGAATGTCTCCAATCTGGCTGATCACAAAATTTCTGTCATTATCAACACAGGATTCCTGCTTGCGCTCCTTCAAACTATAGAAGAAATGCCTGTGGATTTCAAGCAACTCATCTAAGCAGGGGAAAATCTTATCCACGGTGTTGTGGTCAAGCTGCAGCTCCTCCTTCATGCCTTTCCTGAAGATCTCAGACATGATGAACAGGGTCTGGATGTGATGCATTTCTGTCTGCATTAGCTCTGAAATATGTGAGCAGACACATGTTCCAAAGAAGCTTAAAACATGGGTGTCGCTACAGACCTAAATTAATAGCTCATGCTATGTTACAGAAATAAAAGAGAAGGAATAACAGGGATATTTCTTCCAATACACAAATCAGCACCCATTAAACATTTGAGCTCAAAATAGGAAGCTATTTTCTTTTCCCAGGTATTAGGAGAAGGTATAAGTACAGAAGTCAAGTCCAAGATATAAGAATCAAGTGCATCAGAAACTCTAGCCAGCATCTTTAGGTCCTTCTGTTCAGAACTACACCCCATTCCTACCTTACTGCCCTATAACATACTTAATTAAAAAACTTAGTTTGCTTGTTCTTTTTCCCCCTTTGGGTTTTACACTGAGTAAAAGAAGAATTAATTTGGTGGATTAACTTGAACTGAATATATAAAGTCCTTCAATGCAGCCATCAAGGTTCCTTCTGCTGCAAACACCTATCTCCAAAACTTCATTTTCTCACAATCACAGGTCACAAAAGAAAGTAAAAAAAAAATGACACTCAATAGGAGAAAATATTTATAAACCATTGCTCTGATAAGGGGCTTCTTTAAAAACATATATAAAAGAACATATTTTAAAACCTTATAACTCAAAAATTTTATAAAAACAATTTATAAATGGGCAGAGGATTTGAACAGTTTTTTGTCCAGTGAGGTATACACAAAGTGTCTGAAAAGCTATTAACAGCACCAGGGTGCAGCTCAGTGGCAGTCTCCCTAGCATACACAAGACCCTGGGTTAGATTCCCAACAACGCTGTGAGAAAGAAGAGAAACACCGCACATTCTCACCTTAGTGATTCTAACTCACACACACTAACAATTACAGTAAAAAATAAAAAATTACAGCAAGCAAGCAAGCAAGTGCTGGTGAGGATGTGGAGAAATTGGAATGCTCATATATTGTTGGAGGGCTGTAAAACAGCATCGCTGCTTTAGAAAACAGTCTGGCAAGTCCTCAAAAGATCGAAAATAAAATTACCATATGACTCAGAAAGTATAAACAGCCCCAAATATCCATCAACTGATAATTAAATATATGAAATGTAATATTATTCAGCCATAAAAAGGAATGGAGTATTAATATATTATTACAACTAGGACGAACCTCAAAAATAGTATGCCAAGTGACAGGAGTCAATCACAAAAAGAGCACATATTGTACCATTTACATAAAATAGCCAAAATAGCTAAATTCTTAGGTTCAAAAATTAGGTCAGTGGTTGCCAGAGGCTGTTGGAAAGGGAAAACGGGGAGTGACAGCTACTGAGTATGAAGTTTCTTTTCGAAATGCTATAAATGTTCTAGAGTTAGAGAATGTACAACTTTGCGAATACTCTGAAAACCATTAGATTACAGACATTTCAGAGGTAAATTTTATCATACGTTAATAATTTTATCGTATGTTAATTATGGCTCAACTTTTAAAAGCATTATAGAGAAAATAAGAGCTCAGTGTGAGAACTACTACCAGTACAAGTGCAATAAATGTGAGCATTTCCAAACTCGCTGTATGTTCTAGGGAGGGATCTAGGGTTACAGCTGTAGAGAGTAACTCAGTCTAAATGTAACTTTATTTTATCAAAAACAAGAATGTCTTTCATTGGAAACCCACTAGCTTTATATAATTATTATTTCCTGACACGGTTTCGGTGCCTCCTCTGTGCTTCCCCATGTTATTTCCCTTAATCTCTTAATTCATTTTCTCCTTGTGACCCCCAAAGTATGAAGATATCGCTTCATCTTTAAAAGGGAAATACAAAGAAGAGGAAGGATTCTTCAGGAATACAGAGCTTTCTGAAACCAAGAGCCATGCTGTGTGTGGTAATTAATCTCAAGGGGTTAGATTGCTTTAATTATACATGGAGTTGAGAAGTAACTGCAAATAACCACATAACACAAAAGCTTGAGAATTACTAAAAGGAAGAGCGTCTTCCCACACAAGATCCAATCCCACAGCCCCTGGCAGTTCTGCGTTGACCTGTGCGACCAGCTGATACAGGCAAGCAGGCGGCCTCCCCACGAGGGGACCTGCAAACACAGCGTCAGGGAAAATGAAAAGACTGTCTCATCTTCAAAATATGGCATCTTCTTTTTGGGGAAGGAAGCTGAGGATTGAATCCAGGACTTTACACATACTAGGCAAATGCTCTACCACTGAGCTACACTCCAGCCCTAAAGTGGGGTATCATCACAAAATTATTCTTTAGCATCTATTTTGAACTTGAATTTTTTTAAACCTTCATTTTTCTAGCTAGTATCTAATTTCACCTCCCCTATTTCATTCAGATTGCCTCTATCTTAAACAGCATGAAGTAGTGACATCTGTCTACAGCTGAATTCTACACTCAGGATGGCAGCACACCATCAAAGTTGTCCTAACCTGGATGCTGCTTCTCACACTACAGATGACATGGATGACTCCTGGTAAATGCAGCCGAACTGCAGGGCCACATGCAAGAGCCCTGTGTGCTCTCCACGAAATAGGTACAAATACTACACAAAAGAGGAGATAGTGTAGGCCAAGCTGAAGCATTATGGTTTGGATCTAAAATATTCTGTAAAAGGCTCATATATTTGGAAGGCATTTGAATCCTGGGGCATTGCACTTATCAGTAGATTTGTCCACTGAAGAGTTCATGCTGAATGTGCAGTCAGGAGGTGGGGTGTGGCTGGAGGAGTCACTGCAGTGTGACCTGGAAGGGTGCGTTCTGGTCCCCAGCTCCTCCCTCACTCTCTGCCTCCTGGCTGCCTTAGGTGGAGCAGCTGTCCTCCATCAGGCCCTTCCAAATGCTGTTTCTGTCCTGAAGCCAATTGGGATGGAACCCACTGGAAGCTGTGGGCCAAATAAACTTCTCTTCCTTTAAGTCGTGGGTGTAGAGTATTTTGTGATGGGAAAGTAACTAAGACACTAAGTGACTTGAAAAGGTAAGAAAAATAAACCTTGGGTGACACCAAGGTCATACAGTGCCCCATTTAAACCCCAGAACATTTCAAACCTGAGTGTCATTATTCCCGTTACAAAGATGGAGAGATGGAGGCTAGGTGTGTCAGATAAATTGTCTGTGAACAGGCATGAAACCAGGTCTGTGTGGTTTCAAATGTCATATTCTTTCCTCTACACTGCTTTAGCCCTAGGATGTATATGAGATGCTTACCAAAAATGACATCTTGCCTTTTGACGACGTCCTTCTCCTGCCTACTGCAAAATGAGGGGTCCACCACCATGCTCCACGACTCTGCTTCAAACTCTTTGGCCTCGTTGCTGAGGTCACGCCACAGGGAAGAGTCCATGACATCTAATGTGTGTGAAAAAGGAAGGCCAGAAAGATAGTAACACACACACACACACACAGAATGACAGACCTTGTTAAGTACCATGTTTTCAGCTTTTGTACATTAAACCTATCTATGGGGTCAGGGACAACTCAAACAAAATACACAGTCTTATGGAGTTGGAAGATTTGAAAACCAGAATGACAAAGTGATCCATATCAAGAGGCCTTTCATGAAAGCAAAGAAGAACCAGATATAGCAGCCTATGCCATCAACAGAAAATGTGGTATATACCATGCTTCTCTGAAAATAAGACCTAACTGGAAAAATAACCAGGCTTAAAAACTAGAGATCAAAAATGCCAGCCTGGATCAACCTATTCTGTCTTGCAGAGTAGCCACCAAGCAAGAGAACAGTGATGACAGATAGGAAAAGCAAGGATAGTCAGCTTGGGGCTGGCATTTCAAGGATATTTTCCATCTAGGTCTTATTTTCAGGGAAATGGGGGGGGTATACACAATGGAATCTTACTTAGCCATGAAGAATGACAAATGTGAGTCATTTGTAGAAAAATGGATGCACCTTGAAACCACAAGTTAAATGAAAGGAATCAGAAACACTAGCATATCACATGGTTTCTCTTATATGGACAACCCACAGTACAAATGATTTCAAAAGCAAAATAAATGATGGATATCACAAAATAGAGGGGCAGATCTTTTGCAAATGGGAATGGGATCTACAGATGAAGGAGGGGTGGAGAGGGGGAAGACAAGGGGATGAACAAGGAATTAAGATGTGTTATGTGCACATACCAACTCCACACAATGAAGGTAGTCATTATGCACTGCAAACATGTACTAATAAAAATAAAAAATAGTGACTGTGTACATGGAGTTACTAAAAGAAACCTGAAGGTTCTTTTGTTCATTTTGGCTTTTTCTAGTTTACTCCTGTTTTGGGGAACCTTCAGAGTCCACAATGTGCTCATAGGATCTCACTCCCACCACTTCCTTGCCCTGGGTTATTTTGCACTGTTTACTCAGATCTAAATTTTGAACTGGTCCACTTGGTTTGTTCTGGATTTGGCAAAGCTTATAACAGAGAATAGGGATTTAAACCGTAAGTGAGTGTGGATTTTTCTGGCAGACATACATATTAGACACACATAGACAAACACCCTTCAGGAAAACTAAATCCTATTGTCCAAAACAGCAGTCATCAGAGAGGTTCCAGCTCAGAGCTGTAACACGGAGCTGACAACAGATTAAAGACAATGGGTTTCTGAGGCAGAGTCCTCCCCGCTCTCTTCCTCCACTTAGGTTTCTTTCATTTGTTGATGGATGTTGGATACAAAAAGCAATTCCCCAAATTAGGTTCTATAAAATACACTTTAAAAATGCTTTTACTCCCATAGAAGTAGGTGGTAACAAGTGGGGGAAACTACTCAGATATCCAGGCAAAACCAGTCTTTACTAATTAAAATCTGTATTTTAATTAATAGGATTAGGATCCTATTCCAGTCCATCAATCGTCATAAAACCTCTTTTCCATGATGAGCACACAATATATTTCATTCTTTTCACTGATCATAACCCTGTTCTCTTGGGAATATGTCCATTTAAAAGTAAAATCATGGGGCCAGGGATTTGGCTCAGTGGTTCTACCACTTGCCTTGCAAGTCCAAGGGCCCGAGTTCAATCCCTGGTACCAAAAAATAAAATAAAATTCTTTTAGACAGAACAAAAGAATGTGTTTTTGTATTGCTTCCTTTAGAAAATATTCCTTTTGGCAAATGCTCATAGAAACACAAGTAAATGCGAACACATCTCCTCACCTTCCATTACGAAAGTCTCCATGGAGGGAGAAGAAGAGCCTGTGGATTGCACCAGTTCATCAGAATGAGACCTGCTTCTCCAGTTGTTCCCATCGCCCTCAGATTCCAAAGATGTAACTGACCTCCTGAAACTGGGAGGGAGACAGGAAAGAGCGCTTAGCTCCAGCAGCCTCTCTGAGCCCTAAAGATCAAACAACACACCGAGTCTTACCTTTCCAGACTGGTGTTTGGAACACTTCTAGAGAGCAGAGGGACCTGCCCTGTGGATTCCTTCCTTGGAGTTGGGAGTCCAATGGGCATGGAGGATGAAGGGTGCAAGGAGAGGCCAGGCTGTGGGATTTCTCTAGCTGAAGAACCTGAAAATCAGAATGGGGCTGCATGCGTTTCTCACAGAGAACAGTACTTCTGAGCAAGGAAAGTCACTTTGAAGCCAGAGGCCAAGTCCTCAAACAGCCAGTTCTAATCCATCGCATGCCCAGCCTTGAAACTGGTCTCCCTGCCTCAAGCTGATGCGTGCTTCAAATGTTGCTTCCTTTCACACTGTCCTGACACCCATGCAGCAGGTCTGCTTTTGCTTCTCCACCTGGGGACTGTGGGTGTTTGGGACAACACAAGCAAACAAGAAAATGGAATGGGGAAACACTGGCCAGCTTTCCCATAAACCACTGCTTGTACTCCTTGGAGCCAGCTTTAAATAGATGCAAGGTGTCATTAGCACTGTTACTAGAGCACACACCAAGGCGAGTGTAAACAAGTAGAGCACATGGAGAACAAGTCAAGGGAATGGAATGGAATGGCACTGGGAATCTATGCTTTTCGGTTGTTGTAGAACCTCAGGCCAATGAGACCTGCAAACCCAGCTAAGATGTTTGCTCTCACATACTGAAAACAGAATAGTACTCCCATACTTTTCTAGCCAGCTCTAAAATGTTCTAGGCATTGATACATGTATATGGATGCATAATATAAATTATTCTCAGAAAATATCTCAGTGCCATAATGTTACAGCTATAGCATACATGTTCCTGAGCAAAAGGTGGAAATTACTTATCCCAGGATAGTACAAAGGATTTTATTTATGTATGGTTTGTCCTTATGATTCCCAAGGAAAAAGGAAAATTACATGGTGTTTTATCTATTTTAGGATGCTTTTTATTTTCACACTTAATCTTTTGAAGTTCAGAGCTGCTTTATAACTGATGTCAAGAGACTTCTGAGGTCAAGATAAGAGAGTAAGAGATGTGACAGCTATTGAATAACTTAACCCTGTATGTCATCACACACAAGAGAGTGTTACCATGTCCCTGTCTGAAGTGTTTTTTAAAATATCAGTCGTACTTTATTACAGCATTAAAATTATAAATTACTATGCACTTAAACTTCCTGCCAGAGATCATGCAATGCAACTTTAAGTAAAGAAATTATGAACGCACAGTAAGCCAAAGGATTTTCAAATGTAGGACTCACTAGTGTTACCCATTCTTGCATGTAATACAAAGCACTGTTGAAGGTCACCAATTACTTATAAAAGAAACTGTTTAGATTCATCATTGTATAAATCAGGAAAAAATTGAAGTACAAACTTAAAAACACACAAACAAAATTCCAGTAGGACTTATCATTTCACTGTCATCCTAAAAGTACTAATGAGATAACACCATATCAAAGCACAGATAATCAAAACATCAGGGCATCACAATAATGCACAACAGGGACTAATAAGAATCTATAGACGGGCCGGGGATTTAGTTCAGTGGTTCTGCTGCCTGCCTCGCAAGCATAAGGACCTGAGTTTGAGTCCCAGTACCAAAAACAAACAAACGAATCTATGGACTCCAAACATGAGTTGTTTCTGCCAAACTTTGTGATTCTAAAGGAGAATGTGGCATGTATTTGCATAGAAAAATATATGCTGGGAAAACATAAATTTATGTATGTTTCATGTAATGCCTCTCTTTTTTCCTCAAAAGTTATTAAATCAATACAGTATATTCTACTAGATAACACCTTAGAATTGAGGCAATGTGGTAACACTTTCTCCTTATAACCCTCCCTTACACAAAAGATCATATAATACATATGGTGCATATGCATCATACACTGCATACGATGCATGGAAATTTATATCCTTCTTGGTCTCTTTGTATAACTAAAAGTTATGCCAACCCTATGACATAATTGGGCAAGTCAGAAAACAAAGGCAGGAAGTATTTTTACAATGGAAAAATGTGCGGCATGCATTAAATTTTTTAAAGTTCTTGTCCTTTTCCCACATCACTTACTTCCAAGGATGCTCTGCGGTTTGTTCTTGCTATGTTTCTCTTGGAATTTCTGGTAAAAAATATTAGAGATACATCAAGTAAGATCAAAGTGCCACTGGACTATAAGAACGCACACAGCTCCACAAAATAGGATTCTTATTTATATCATTTTTAATTATTTTATTTATTTCAAACAAATAGGAGTTGCGATGGACACTGCCTTTCTCCTTGTTCTACTCCTCACTGTCCCTCCTGCCCACATGAGATGACAGTGAAATGTCACCTTGTCTGTGCTGTGGCTAGACACAGTAAATGACTCAGTCAACATACAGATTTATGACTCCATTTTCCCTTTGAAGGAACATCCTGCCCATGCACATGCATTTCTGACATAAAAGAAGAATGGAACAGACACAGATGCCTTCATCTATGCAAGGCCAACCCTAAGCCAGGACACTTTTCTGCAGTCCCGTAGTCTCCAGTTGGGGTCTCTGCCACACCAGCAAGCCCAGGGAACTTGTCAGAAACTCTGAGAGTGCAGTCCTGTAGTCAGTCTGGGTTTTAACACATCTTCCAGGTAATTCTGGCGTTGGCTGATATTTGAGAATCACTGCTCTAATTATCATTTAAAATAATAACTGTTTGTGTTGGTAAACCAAGCAGGCCTCAACAGAAAGCCTAACCCACTCATACAATATCACCAGACATGGGCTTTCCTTCCATTACTAAAGGTGTACAGTTAAGTAAATAACTATACATTTTGAGCATGTGTTGTGTTATCACGGCAGTGATCACTTCATATATAAATCTAGAGAGCAATAAAAATGAGTTCATTCTCAAACAGAGAATATAAAATAAACAAGCTGCAATAGACACATAAATTCAGCAATGACCAAGAGATTACCTTGATACATGGAGGCAAGGAGTCCTTACAAGCCTTATGAACATTTGCATTACAGCCTGAAATAGAGAAAAGATTCAGAAGCATCCATCTTATGTAAGAGAACCTAAAATGAACAATACTATATCCTGCATTCACTGGTCATAAATATTTTTTAAAATTTTTTCAATTTTTAAAAATTCATAAATATTACAAATATTTAGAAAACTTAAGGAAAGACAAATACTTAAATCACATGTAGCTCCACCTGAATTCAAGCACATTGTTGGAATTTTGATTTCCTTGGAGATATCTTTTATCTTCTGAAATTATTACATCAATTATGAACCCCGGAATTATACATAATGCACACTTCTGTGTCTGCCTGAGGACTCATTTGCAATTGTATGCATTACATTGTGAGGAATTTCTGACAGCTGGCTGACTCCCGCACCGGGCTAAATGCCTAGGACCATGGAAAGAAAGAAAACAAGCTCACAAGGATTCTGGAGGGGGGAAATGAACTATCAAGCTTCAGCAGCAGCTCCTATTAAGCAGAAGTGCGAGGTAGCCAAATTCAATGAGAAAAGTTAGCCACTTGCCCATGTTTTATATCCTAAAACAACAATGTGGCTCCGTCTCACTGGAAGAAGGGAAGAGAAAGTTTCCCTCTCCATCCAGCCCAGTGCACAAGCCCAGGCTCTCCTCACAGAAATCCGTGCCATGGGGGGACTGCTGTAGATAACACTGTGACACTATTCAGATGATTAAAAATTCCCCTTCCTGCCTCCACAACTTCTTCTCATTCTACCCACTCTGCATGCTGAACCCCAGCCAGATGAGTCTGAGATATATCAGAAACTTTTTGAGAAAGAGTCCTTCCATGGGGATAGAAGGCCCCATCCTGCCCATTAGTGCCCTGCTGCATAAAAGCCAGTGATCTTTCGTGAATTGGGTGCAAAGCTGAGCCCCACAACTGCCCATTGGCTGCAGGTCATTTCCACCAACACCCAGTGGCCAATGAGCAGGGTCAAGCCAACTGCTCTCTCTATTGCAGAACAAGTAAACAAAAGAAAAATTTAAAATGTAGACTCTATGAAATTCCACAGAACAAAGTTACCCTGAAAACTCACAGATCTTATGAAGTCCAAAAACAGAGAACAATGTTGATACTGAAACTATTTTCTCAATAAGAGAGAGAGGAGATGGGGGCTTCACTATAATAGGCCCTGAAGGGATATAAAATAGGTCAACGGTAGGATAGGAAAATGGAGCTCTGTGAGAGAGGCAGGGACGGGGAGGAAGGTAAAGGGGAAGAGCAGAATTTAAGCCACATTGAGATAGAATATCAAAGCAGTGCTGTGAAATTAAACTTGAAAGATTCCTTCCAGAATGTGGCAAGGACAAAGGGTATAATTATAAGATAGAAGAGGACACACAAAAAAGACAGATACCAGAGATCACATTTATCCAAAAAAGAAATCAGAAAATTAGATCAGAAGCAATAATAGTCAAAGTTACAAGAGACAAAAACGTTGTACAGCTGAAAAAGCACCTCAAATGAAGGGCAGATCAAAAGTTTTGGTGCTTTTTAAGAAAAATAGTTAAATAGATAACATTCTGACACTATTCAGATGATTAAAAATTTTAAAGTTCCCAAAGCATCCTGTCAGAAAAAGGAAGTTACCAACAAAGGAGTCAAGCTAGACCAGCCCCAGACTCTCCCACTATGACAGATGCCCAGCCATATGGGATTAATGTGTACACAGCACCAAAGGAGAAGATTTTGGTCCAAAGTTTTATTTAGCTAGGTAAATTGTCCCCTTTATGTGAAAGAAGCACAAAAATACCCTCAGTTACAAAAGGTTTCAGAAATCAGATGAATTCTATTCTAGACTACTGCAAATAGAATCAAAATTAAGGAATGCATTGTCTGTAGTTTTTTAAAAAAGGAACAAGAAAGCAAAGCAACAAATCTAAAAACTGTAAGTAAAGACAGCTGAATAAAAACACACTTTTCTTAAAATAGAGCAGTCTTAAAAGATTAAACATACAACATAGAAAAGGAAAACAGAAATAATAATTAACAGAGGCTGAAGGGAAATGGTAAATATAAGGAAAATGAAAGAATATTAAATTATTAGCTTTATACAGCCTTAAAGCTATTATAAGTAGCTATTAAAAGAGCCTAACTGGCCAAATCCCATGTGAAGATAAAAGCAAACAACACATGGTCTAAATAGTTGAGCTAGACATCAAGGAAAACAGTAAGAAACTATAAAAGATAGTTGAGAGCAGTAAAATTAAGTGTAGATAAGAAAAATCCTTTGTTATAAAACACATCTTTCAGTTATAATACAGATTACCTCTGGCTAAATTAAAGATACACATCCCAAATCAAAACCATGGAAATAAGGAAAATAAAAAGAAAAGAAAAGGTACAGTAAAATTCAATGCAAGGGACATGTAATGACACTAAATGAGTGAATTTACGTTGGTTAAAGTTAAATATGAAATGAAGCGGGCAGGGGATTTAGCTCAGTGCTTCCATCACATGCCTTGCAAGCACAAGTTCCTGAGTCCAATTCCTGGTATCCCCCACAAAAAATATATGCAACAAAGGTAGGATTTCTGCACGAAATAATGAAATATCCAAATATGCAGAGAATCCTATTTTAAAATAAGGAAAATTTTATAGGAATAAAATTCTTTGAAAAATTAGAAACACAAGTTTTACTAGAGAAAAATGAGGCCAGGAATTTGAATACTTATATTATGTGCTGTTTCATATCACATATTACTAAGTTTAGAAATTTTAAAATTCACAATTAAAAATAATAATAATACACTGATGGAATAGCATTACTAACCTAAAAGAGAGGAGACTGCCCATGTTATATCCCATTACTCAAGGTAAAAACTTCATCCTAATGACTAGTGCCAGCACCTCAAGAAAAAAAAACTTGTAAATTTTAAAACTAATTCTAAAAAATTGTAGGTTAAAGAAAAAAATCAAACGTACACTTCAACCCACAAATACTGATTCTGGAATTTAATGTAAAGGAATAATCAAAGAGGTGGACAGTGATATGTGCATAGGAATGCTCATGTATCTTTTGAAAATTTAGGGGAATTTTTAAATGTACAATAAGAAATAATTAAATACATATGAAATCAGCATCAAATGAAACATTGCCATTATAAGCAGATAGAATATTTTTATGATTAGAAGGGACTCTGTCAAAGTATCAACATCAACTTTCTCTATGTGGTAAAATTTAAGATTTTTCCTTAAGCCTTGTATGTGCTATAAATCCTAATCCCCCTTTGTTTTTTTTTTTTTTTTGATACCAGGGATCTTAAACTTGGGAGGCAGGTGGCAGAACCACTGCGCTAAATCCCCAGCTAATTCCTTTTTTTTTTTTTAGTAATGACTGCTTTAACACCTAAATATACCTACTTTCAAGAATTTCCAACTTCCATTACAACCTTCATTACAATCCACTTAACTCAATAGGAACCAGCATCTTAATGACTATAAAAGTTTCCTGTTCAGGTATCCCTGGCCCTGGGCTTTTTCAGTCATTTACGAGGCAACAATATCTAAAAGCCAGCTTCTGACGGCTACTAGAAGGCAACACAAGTCAGCATGTGATTACTGTTCTTAAAGAACTTAGTCTATTTCAGTAGTTAAAACTCAGAGAGGCTATACATAACAGGATATTAAACAGAATGTCATAAAAGTAATGGGCATTTAGCTCATTTAGTAATGGGATTGATCTCAGTAGCACCATACCTGCCTTGCAAGCTCAAGGTTCCAAGATGGATCCCCGGTCACCCCCCCTCCGCCAAAAAATATTCAGAAAAGTAATGGGCAAGAATTTGACCACAATGGGCCAAGGATTTAGCTCAGTGGTGCTGCCACCTGCCTCACAAGTGCAAAGTCCTGAGTTCAATCCCTGGTACAAAAAATAAAAGAATTTGACCATAGTGTTCAAGGAAGACCTCCAAGATCTGGATCCATGGCCGGAATAGAAAAAATAAACACAAAGGAGATTATCACAAGCTAAACAGCAGGAACAGGAAAGAACAGATGATGAAAGGCCAGGACAATAGGACTGGGAGGATTCAGGCTATCTGCAGTTGCTGAGGAGGCAAAAGTAGAACTGGTTAGTAGGTCCCAGATGAGGAGCTGGACCCAACAAAGAGCTTCGGCATGGCTCAACCCTGAATTCATGTGAGTCCCTGAATTCATGTGCGATGATGAAAGAGGCATTGTACAGATTAGTGGGGTATAAGTCTCATCATAAACTGTAGTTGGAAGCACATGGTGGGAAGACAACTAGCACAATTCACTCTCAGCGGGCCTGGAGGTGGCAACAGCGAGAGGGAAAATGAAAGAGTGAACAAATGACATTCAAGGCAGGGACAGAGGGAAGCAGACTCACAGGGACCAATGTTTGGCCTGTGTGCCATTATCCCAAGTGCATGGTGGGGAGGGACAGCATTTTGTGTCTGGATTCTGAAGCTGGTTTAAGTCATGTTGGGTTGCAGAGACAGTGAAGTCTCTCAATGAGATGCCTGCACACAGGGTCACCTTATGAGCCAGTTTGCCTCTGGCAGGCTTCGTTCAGTGCTATCATTACAGCATCGTTTTTAAAAGTGGCCCTAAATGACACAGTGCCTAGCCTCTAGGTAACCAAAAATGTGGAAGTAAAAGGGCTATAGGCGTTGATCCTAGAGGAAAAGAGTCTACATAGGGAAGATAGTCTATATTCTAAAATAACCTTTGCAGACCTGTATAATTAAACAATAAAGGGAAAATGAATAAAAGCCCTAGAACTGAGCCTAGAAGGCACTCAGAATTAGGGAGAAAGGAGACTATACAGATACTAAAACAGAACAGTCATGTGCCATGGAGAAGAGGAAGAGTTACCTGAAGAAGCATGGTCAGCCTGAAGCAAGAGGAAAGGCTCTCCAGCTCAACTAGAAAGTGGCCCCCAGCTTCCCTAAGCAGGACTTCAGTTAAGTAGGACAGGGGCCAAAACACAGATGGTTAATGAAGAAGGATCAGGATGGGATAGCAAGCAGTGAATGGAAAATTAAGAGCTGGAAAATATGAATGAGAAAGGTCTTGGCTGTGGGCTAGGGGTAAATTAAAGGGATCCAGTCCTATCAAAAAAGTGAAATGGCAAGCTGTGAAACACACACTCACCATGCAGATAACCTGACTGCTGAAATGTGGGCTGCCAGAAACAACCCCTAAACAATACTTACAGCAAATCCCAAAAAATTCAGCAAATTAAGAACTAGTGGCTCAGTGGTACAGTGCTTGGGTAGCATGCATGAGACCCTGGGATTGGGTCTTAGAAAATACACACACACACACACACACACACACACACACACACACACTATAAAATTAAATCACATCTGAATGATGTGTTATTTCAGATCCCATGAAAGAAAAAAAACTGAATCTTCAAGGAAAGCCAAGTTTAAGTATGCAATAAAGTTGGCATCATTGAGGACAGTGCCAAGCAATTCTGCCTTTAATGCCACAACAACCAATATGCCTTTAAGGCCATATGCAGAGAGTATTTTCATCAGAAACACTACTATAAGTACATTTAAATTCTTTATCTCTTTGAGGTAGGGGTAGTGTACAGATGCCTTCTGCTCTTCTCTGCCCAACATGTGCCCATTCCACCCCTCAAATACTCCTCCAAAATAGCTACCAATGCCATGAAATGCATTTCACTTGCCTGGGCATGAATTCTTTGTCTCTGAGTTATTCTTTGATTTAACAAATACTTACTATTTGCTCTAAGGTATCACTCTAGCTATTGTGGATATAGCAGAGAACAAGTTCAATAGACACAAATCCTACCCCATAGAACTTTGACAGCCGATAAAATCAATAGTAAGATGTATAGTAAGTTAGTCGGTGGTAAATATTATAAGGGAGGAAATAAAGAGAAAAGGTGAAGGCCAAGCCAGGAAATGTAACCAGGAAACCCTCAGTGTAAAGGTGCTATTCAATAATCCATGTGGCCAGCCATGGGAAGACCACTGCAGGCAGAGGATGGCCAGGGAAAGCCCCTGGTCAGGAGCACATCTGGCATGCTAGAAGAACATCAAAGACACTGGTGCAGCCAGAATAGAGGGAGCAAAGGGGAGAAGGAGGATGGAGCAGTCCTCATTGGGCCTTGCAGCTATGGTAAAGCTTTGGCCTGCAGTTGGAGGACACCGGAAGACATGGAATTCAGGAATCCGTGACTTAACAAATTCATGCAAGCTGATGCTTTAAGAATGGACTTTAGTGGGTCAAAGCACAAGGACATTAATTAGAATGATGTTGGAATGGTAACTTTAGACCAGCCAGGCGTCAGTGGTAGGTAGTAACAAGCAGATGGGTTTTATATACATTTTGAAAATAGAGCCAAGAGGATTACAAAAGGATTGGATGTGGAACGTGAGAGAAAGGAGGTATAAACAAATATTCCAAAGTGTTTGGCATGGCCATCTGGCTGGAATGACAGACCTGTCATTATCTGAGAGGATCTGCTTATAGATGCCACAGAGGGGGCGGTCAGGGGCTCAGTTTGAGACCTGTAACAGTGAGTGAAGATGCTGTGGAGACATCCAAGTGGGTACAACAGCAGTGAGGCACATGGGCCTGGGGCTCAGGAACACTATCAACTGTGGACAAAAAGTACTGATTCTATCCAATATCAGCCACTGCATGGTAACTGTCCCAATCACCTGTGCAACACTACATGCCATGTAATGTGGCATGTGAATGTGGCTAGCAATAGCCTATCCTGGAGGATCCTACTGGTTGGAGAAACAAAGCACAAAGCCATCACTAAGCCTGAGAACTTACTAGAACACTGGAGTAGCTCTTTCCCCAGGAGTGTCTTATCACATGCCACACACTGCAGAGACCCAGAGGGCATTCCTGGAACAAATTGATGTCGATTTGGTTTCTCTTTATCTTTGACATCCTTGTTTTTCATCTTCAGAAACAGTAGCAGCAGCAGAGAAGCCGGGAGAAATAGATAAGGGGAAATGTTGTGAGTCAACCTTCTTATAGAACCCTTAAAGACCAACAAATTATCTGCTTTTCCTATGGGAATACCAGCACTGCACACCAAGGAACAAGGAAATTGCAAAGAAATGCACTAGCTCCCATGATGTGGCTGTCTTAATATTTCCAATGAGTTGGGCAATATTCCACAAGAACGGTACAGATACAATCTAAAGCAAATGATTTTAAAGGAAAGTGGAAACCATCTTGACTTCTATGAAATAAAACCATCTATGCTTAATAGAAAATAAGTTTAGCATCTTAATTACCTTGGATTTATTCCGAGGGTTGGTCATCCTATTCATGAGGAAGCTGAAAGTTCGGCTCACTTTATACTTTTCAGATTCTGATTTGGCCGGGATGATGTATTTATCCCATTCTTCTTCCTCAACTCTACAAAAAAAAAAAAAGAATCTGTTATCGCAGCTTAAAAGAGGGAAGAAAAAACAGTATGTACATATATACAAGTATATGTGTGTATATATGTTGCAGTAGGTGTTTTGTTTAGGTTTTAATGACTACTCTAAATAGAAATGTAGAAACTATAAACAATATATTTTATACCTTACAGATAAATAGGCAGAATATACCTGTGATAAAGCAATTATCTCACAATGTTAACAACTGTAGAATGGAGGTGGTGGAAATGGGTATTCAGCATATCTTTCAACCTTTTTGTATTCCTGAAAATTTTTCATAGCTAAAATATTAATGAAATGAATAAACACACATAATTTTACTCTGAAAACATTCGACTCCTTGTTCACTCTGCAAATAGAAATTTCCCAGGATATAGCAGCCAAATAACCAACCATTTGAAACTGAACTTTATTTATTTTGGGAACACAGGGATAATACTCAGTAGACACATTTTTCTTTGTTGATATAGCTCAAGAAACAGACCATGTGGCTCCTGGTTCAGTCTCTCCTGTTCAGTCAGGCTATATGCAATCTAATACTCTCTCGGTTGAAGGGGAGAGAAAGAACACTACTGAAATTTTTCTAAAATATGAGGCAAGCCAGAGGTGCCTGTATCCAATCCATGAACACACTGAACATTATTTATTTTCATTCAATCCATAACAATTCAGTAGGAAAAAATCCAGGGTATGAAAAGTTGTGATTCCCTAATAATCTTTCTTCTAATATTATTATTGAGAAAAAAGGGAGAATATATTAAAAATCAACTAAGTATCATGTTAAACCAGATAACACAGCTGTAGTGTATTTTTATGATGAATATTTCCTAACTAAAGTCTCCCCTATCCCTTAAATCTCTCATTTTTCTAGTGGTTTACATATTTGTTCCTTGGAAATATTTTAAAGCAACCACATTATCCATATATGCTATACACACACAGATACACAGACACACAGACACACACACACACACACACACGAGATTACATGTCTTGAAATATGTTGCTTTCAATGACAACTTTTTAGGACTTCAGTTTCTCAAATCTGACTAATGATATATTCAGACTAAATTAACTCTAAGGCCCATTGCACACTTTAATATATACCACCCGGGTACATAATAAAGCTAATTCATTTAAGCTCTGTCTTAGTTACTTCAGGTTTCAAATGAATTTGGAAAACATAATCACTGGCTGCAGAGCTGCCTCTTGGCCATGTGGCTCTGTGTATCCTGCCTCTCAAATCCTGCTCAGTGAATGAAATGAAGTTTGTCACTGAGAGAGAACCTCTGAGGAACCTAGAGGGGAGTGAATAGAACCAAGCACTTACTGAGCACAACAAAGGATCTAAGGTCTTATTTCATTTCTACTTCTGCAGCCACCTCTAGTCATTTCAGTCTTAAATAACTGCTTGATTAACGTAACCTGAACTTTTCAACAATCTCTGGTGTTTTGACATTCTAATTTGCAAAATGTATATTCTGATATTCAATAGGCTTTTGATTTAATAGGTACCAGGGGAAGGACACATTTAAGAGCTCAGAAAGGATCCACTCGGATCACATTTTGTGACCCACTAAATGGGTCTAGGAATCTAAGATGCTAACGTCTAAGAAGACAGTGGTGTAATGAAAAGATTTAAACTCAGAATTAAAGAATGATCAGGTTGCTATGTGTTTCGAGGTCAAGAAGTCCCCTCCCCCATATCCCAACAGGAATAAAACTAAACTCTCCCAAATAATAGAAAATAAATTCTTGGAGACCCTGCTTCCTACTCCTCATGTTACAGAAAACTGAATCAATCAAAATTACTTTTATTAAAGATCTGTAAGTGCACCACAATGTACCATATCATCCTGTAAAATTCTACAAAATGATGGATAAAATCATGCCACTTAACCTTTTAAGCTCAAAGATGGAAATGACAAAGCAAACATACAAACACCAAAATACTGAGTAAACTTAGGACTACCACTCAGCCTGGTAGGAACATGAATATCACAGACAAAATCCACTATTAGCTTATAAGAATGGATATGACTGGGTAGTCTCTAGGCAAATGTAAGAGATTGGCTGATTTGCATGTTTCAAATCCAATTTAACTCTGTGGCATTCATCTATATAACAATCAGATACTTAGACAAAGACTGAGAAGAGAAACCCTTCAACTAATATCAAAACAAAACTTAAATCACTTTTAAGTTTATAAGAATTTGCAAGAAAAAAAAATAAGTTCAACATGCCAGAACAAGGATGTCTGATTTCCTTTATTAGTTTGATGATCATTAGAATCACTCAAAATAAAGGTTCACAAGTTTCATTCTTCAGAAACTCTCCCAGTACTGTCTTTTTAATAGGCAAATGGATATTTAAAGTGTATCAAGAATATGGATCCTCAGTATCTTAACCTTAATAAATTACATCTTCCATGTTTTAAGGATCTGGGCATCTAGAGTATAAAAACAAGTTGCTACTATACAAACTGCAAATTGATACAGTAGCACTTCCTTTAACCCTCAGATATTTGGCTTCTTTTTTTTTTAAAGCATGCAATGAATGTAATAGATTTAAGATAGATGCTGAGTCATGCTATATGATCTTTAAGGAATCGGGATAGATGGAGTGTCTGCTTCAAAGAGCCTGCAAAGTCTGGCATGAGGCCCTTTTATGTGGTTGTATCCTTTTCCAAACACTGTGCTTAATATAAACAAAATAATTTCAAAGTAGGGAGTTAGCACGACTGAAACAAAGAAAAGGTATGGCTCAGGATCTCACTAGAATATCCAACAAGATGTCAGGACTAGAATGAGTGAGAAGCAAGATCTGTTCTCCTGGTCACCAAAAGATATGGCTGCAAGAGAGAGGCTTTCAGGATATAGACCAAGATGAATGAAAGAAGATGGGCAACAAACAACAAGACAATCAGGAGTGAAGGAGGAATCAGAAAAGGCCTCTCCCATCCAAGTTAAACGGTTGTATAAGTTACTATTTAGCCAGCTGTGACACTGGCTCCCCTAGTCTTAAGTCTGTCTCATAATGGAAAATAATATTTTTATTTTAAAAAGCTTTAATAATCAGCCCATTATTTCTTCCATTGTTAAAAAGACAACAGGAAGAAGACCGCTCATCAAAATGAAGACCAAGATGATGATCAAATTCCAGAATTAGGAAGTAAATGAAGGAATAAACACAAGCTGCTTAAAACACAAGACACACAAAAACACTCAATAACTGACAGTTACTACTGCTGCTGCTACCATCACTGTCCTCGTTGTCATTGTTACAGTCACGATGCCATCTTCATTATTATCCTACCTCTCAAGGGCATTTTTAGACTTCTATTTTTGTCATTTGGACGGTAACATATTAGTCTACACAGCACAGAAATGAACCAACGGAGGCTTTTTCTTATTGCTACTTTTATTCTAAGATTAAAAACAAAATAGTTTTACATATTAAAAAAGCTTCAGAGGATTAGTATTAATAGGCCAAAATTAAAACCATTTTACCATTTTTCAAATGGTCTCTTAAAGCCAAACTTTTTTTTTTTTTTTTGGTACAGGGGATCAAACTCGCTTCCAAGGCAGGCAGCAGAAGCACTGAGCTAAATCCGTGGCCCAATGCCAAAAGTTTATACCATTTCTGGCACTTGTTCTGCCCAGTAACACACAATTCCAGGGCTATTTCTCAGTGTGACAAGTGAGGTGTTACTCATTCAAGAAGCTACAAAATCAGCAACCATGCTTGCATCTTGGTCTGCTTTCCAAGCTTGGCCCCAGTGAGTTTTTTAACTTTCTAGGAAAAAGCTTAGGTGTAAAGTTTTAAAATCTGTGTAACAATCAGAAAGCCAGTGATGCTAAAGGTAATTTTTTCATCTTTAATTCTTTGTATGAAATATAACACCGCTTAGAAAAATCCAAAAGGGAGCTGGTCAGGAAGTTTGGGCCCTTTGTATCATGACCCGCCCGGGGGCTTGTCCTGGCAGAGCAGACCTAGAGCTCTCCCACTGCTTTCCTGAAGCACCCTCTCCAGAAGGTATTTGTCTTTGAAAATAACCAGAAGCAGAATATCCTGTCCCCAATCCCAAGGTCTGCACACCTGAGGACTGAAAGGAGACAGTGGGTCTTTCTCCTCTGACACAATGGAAACAAAAGTTTTAGACAGGCTCTTACCCAGAAACCTCTCCCAACTATTGAACCAATATCAAAAGAAATGGGTAAATACTCCCAAAGATGGAGCAAGAGGTCCCTCCAGAAAACAAGAACCATTAACATACCTTTTCTCTCCTGGTGGCTCTGATAGGCTGTAAGTTCTTTGCTCTACAAGACACAAAACAATAAAATGAAAACCAAGGCAAACTGGCAGTTATGTGTCAGTTTGAAATGCACACTAACCATATTTTATCATTATCTATGCTACCAGTTAGAAAATAATTAGAAACAAGTCACATTATGTAAGTAAGGCATTGCTCTGGATATCTCTATCGCTTTCCTTAGTCTGGAGAGAGTGGGGAGATCAGATTTAAGTTAGCATCAGCAAGAGGAAGCAGACATTTTCAGAAGTGCTAAAAACTAGTTCTATATATTTGAATTCTATGCACCACAGCACCTCCCCCCCACACACAAACACTTTATTCATAATATTAATTCTCCAATATAGAGAATCAGTAGAGGTCTTAGGTGCTACTTTAGCAAAGCTCAAAGGAAATATCTTGACAGCCAGCGTGAGAGTCAATCTCAGTACAACTGCAATATTTTTAGAAAATCCTAGCAACAGCCAGTTCAGAGGTGAGCTTTGGTTTGCGGCCTTTGCCATGGGGCTTGTGGGGAGAAGGTAGGCTTATGCAAGTGTGGTGTCATCTTGTTTCTGGAGTTGGAGTACTGTACTTATTACAAGAACAGAGCAGAAACACTGAATTAAATAGTGAGAGAGACTGAAGGAGAGAACGGCCGCTATGGAGCACGCCACCTTCAGAGCAGGACACACCCTTACCATCACTATCCACGAGAGTGATGAGGCAAAACAAGGCTGTAAAGGGAAGTGGATCAAACACCTAGGGAGAATGAGTAAATACTCCCTGAAATGTGTGCTTCTCAATGACGCACCTAGTATGATCTTATATGCAATGAAAAACCTGCTTTGGGAAAGTTGAAGGTTTTATTTTATAGCCATTATAAAATGTTCCTCAAATTAAGTCACAGACAGAATCATGATCCTTACTGCAAATAAACTGAAGTTATAAGAGTAGAGATATCCAAACTAATCCAGCTTTTAGGCAATCAAACAGACTCAGGCAGCTGGACACAATCTAATAGGAACCCATCCAACAGTTCACAGTAACTTTCAAAAGTAGGTGGACTTCACCCTCAAATTCTTAAATATAGAATGCTTTCTGTATGTCTTGGTGAGGTTATAATTATTTTTTCAAAGTATGACAATGTCCTTTTCTATCTAAACATACAACGTACCAAAGGGAATTACGAACTGAACTTTGTTTTATGTGTACAAACATGAAATAATAAAGTTGCCACCACTGTACTCTGGGTGTCAGAAATAAAGGTGTGAGAAGTAACAGTAATGCTTTGAAAGTGACAAGGAAGACAGAATATGTCAAATGAGAATAAAAAGGAGTAAAAAGCATCTTATCTTTCTATATCAGTAATATACCTTATCTATGGTAGCTTTCCCCTGGGAAGAAAGACTTGAACTTTCTTCAACTAGAGATAAATTTTAGAACTATTCTAAACTTATCAAGAAAAGATCTATAGCACCACAAATGTCAGTCGACTTTTGACCAAACACAAGGCCAGCTTTCACAGCTGTGGTTGGATTACATAAACACAGTGAAAACTATTCCTTCTTCATTCAGAGATAATTTCTTCTTCATACTCCAGTGGTTCTGATGGTTATTAGTGCAAAAGTGTGCAACCCCGCACATCTACCCTTCAGAATCTTTGTATGTGTATGTATGGCTTCAAGCTAAATCACCTGGTTATAATTCTAGCCTTTTGGTTAGTATCAGACTTCTTTTAAATAGCCTTGTCTTTAAATATACCACCTAAAGGGGGCTGGGGATTTAGCTCAGTGGTTCCGCCACCTGCCTCACAAGTGCGAGGGCCTGAGTTCGATTCCCAGTACAAAAAAAAAAAAGAAATATCTATCTATCTATCTATAGATATCTATAGATAGATAGATATATATAAAGATCTTATTTGCAGAAGAAATAGAACTGATTTTTTATTCTTCTAATTCAAATACAAAGATTAAAGGATGATATGTAAGATAAAAGTAGCTTTCTCTGTTCACTAAAATTGAACAAGATAAGCATATTTTTCTCTTAGCAGTCAGGTTCCTTTCAGTCATCTAGTCTGTAATTTCAAACTTCAGAATGCTCTGACTCCACAAATCAGAGAAATCACGAAGAGAAAAGAAAGGCCACCATGTTGTACACCATGTGGAAAACTTAAACACTTTCCAAAGAGTGAGAGTGCCAAGCTAGAAATTCCAGCAAAAAGCTGTCACGATTCCTTACAAGGAACCTAAACCAAAAAATAAATAAAAAGAAAATACAACAAAAGGAACCTAAACAAAAGCTAGGGAGACCTGGCAGAAAAACCCATATAATTAAAAAAATAAAAATCCAGAGCAAATTCAGTCTGCCATCTTCGTCCCATCCTTTTGAGGTGGTTGTTTCCACTACTTTTTCTGTGAACCTTCCTTTCAGAGTCTGCCCATTTGGGCCGCCTTGTTGGCACAGCAGTATAGTGCATCACTCTCATAGAATCTGTCTATTCTGAAAATAAACACTGACATTTATTAGCACTCTGCTTTCTTCTCTTCTAATAATACATCCCAAAAAGGGGGGGACACATACACAAAGTAGCTCTTGCTTTGCATTTTATCTCGCTTGTCTGTCATATTCATTCAACAAGTATTTATTGAACAGCTATCATATGTAAATCATTATTTTAGACTAGCAGTTCCAGGCACAAAGATTACACTTTCGGTATTATTCCTCATACCATAAAAATGCAAAGGAATACTAAAAATGTAAAAAGAAAAAAGGAAAAGAGGAAGAAACAAATAAATTCTATATATTAAATATTGTATACTGGGAAATGAGTAAGCACATCTCTTACTTTCTTACTTTCTGAGGCTTTTATGACTCAATGATAAGACAAGAAAGGCACTATTTCATATATTGAAATCAATTTTGTTAAAATGTATTTTGCATTGGAATGAATATTTCCAAATATGCCTTTAAATGTAATTGTGACATAACGTATTGTCTAAAGAAAACATGGAAATTAAAATTTAAAATAAAGTTTAAAATGGAGGCAGGGACTGACAGCAGCTGTACAGGGAGTCCTAAGTTGCCCATAACTGTTCTATATAGAGAGCCAAATTCACTTCTGAAAATGCATCAAGCTACATATGTAATTTGCATCTTTTTTGTAATTATATATCTCAACTAAAATTTTATTGTGTAAATGTTATATTTCTGATTTCTTACACTGCCAACCGAAACAACAAATAAACGCTGACATACATGTATTCATGTTGTGACCATGTTGTTATTTCAACTCTCCAAAGGTTTAATAAAGAAGGAAAGAATCAATTTTGCTATGCTTTGGCTCTGAGGAGCTGAATTATTTTGCCACTTTACATATAAGACAAAATTAATTTTTATAATTTACTTAAATAAAGTCCTAATTTCAGTTTATATTATATTTGAGGAAAACATTTTATTCAAAGAGTAGACAGGTAGAGAGGTATGCACGTATGTGTAAATGTCATAGAAATGAAATCTATAACATGATTGATATTCAATAAGAAAAGGATTTTGCTAAGCTTAGAAAAATCAATTGTGGAAATGGAATTGAAAGTTGCCTGCTGTTCTTAAGTATTTTATGCACTTAACCTAACTGAAAATTCTATCCTGGTATAGAATGCTTTCAAAGCGAAATGGTAAACAAGGCATACCTTCCCTTGAATTGTACACTGTAAAATCGCGTATTAGCCGCGTTCTTCCCAAAGAAATTTTAGGTGATGAGCATGAATAAGAACGCGAGCGGATTCCAGAAAGCAACGATTCCTGAAAAGAGATCATAAAGTTTTTTTTAAAAAAAACTGTGAGATTTGAATGTGTTCAACCACGAATGTCACTAAATCAGTATCTTTGAGAAAAGTCAACTGGAACACTACTTTGATTTATTGTTTTTAACCTGAATTTTCAGCTATTTTATATGTAGCACTCAAACAAAATTCAGCGCTGAGTTCTCTATATTTAAGGATTATTAGGAAGTAGAGGAATAGCCACTTATTAGAGTTTCTTAAGCTTCCAGATACCCATTTAAATCTACAGTGTAAGTCACAGTCTCTAGAGAAAAATACACCTGGTCAATATATAAATCATAATAGTCTGTGCTCATTTTTCATAGATATTCCAACCAGCACCTTCTGGATATCATTAATATTATTCCTTTTTAATGACCTGACATTTTCATTCCTGTTTTTCCAATTACATATTATTTCTATCATTATATTGGCAACCTGCACAAAAATACAAAATGGCAAGATAATTAAGACATGGTTTTCTTCAGTGTTCCAAAAAAATTAGAGGAATATACAATAGAACTTTATTAAAGCCAATCATGATATCCAACTCCTATTCTATGGAGGTCTTAGGATTGGTTCTGCCCAGGCATTTTTAAGATGCCATTTAAGGTTAGGATTAAAGGAAAGTAATGCAAAATTCTTGACTGAAATTAAGCCATCAGAATTTGTCCTTCCCAATATCAGCCTCTTCCTTTCTTCCTAAGTGAAAACATATGGTTCCACTGAGTGTATTGGTTAGTTCAAGAGCCTAAAGGGAAACTTCCCTCTTGGATCAAAGGGTCGTGGGCTGTAGCTCCCTGAATGTAACAGGAAGTAGCCCCCAGGCCTGGATATTAAGAAGGGTTACAAGATGTGAAGCTGTCCCAGAGCCTTAACAGTGAGCTGGATATCCAAGGCCTTAGCAAAATGCCATGTCTTCACTTAAGACATGTATGGTAATCATTTTCCCTAACAAAAATAAGTTATCCTGTGTATACAGTGTATACAGAGGCAAATTCTTAACACAGAACAACATAAAAGTGTTTCACAAAGACTAGAATTTTTCATTCCAAGTAATAATGTTTTTCAATATTTCTTTCAAGACACAAAATTAGTATCTACATTAACAACCATATTGATGTCTAATCATCCAGAAACAGTACATAACATTCAAACTCAAAAGATAATGAACTCTAAAAGTCTGAGGTGAGGGGAAAGGACAGCACATCTTTCTTTGCTCAGAAGACCTCAATTTGGTTAATAATTCTACCACCAAGCTGGAGCTACCTGAACAAAACACTAAACCCTCCAGTACCTCATCTGCTCAAAGAAGAAAATCCTGGTAAGTTGTCAGAAAACTGAATAGCTTCCACATACTTATAACACACTTTGTATATTGTATGACATGTTACAAAAATAAAGCATTACCCTAAAGACCAAAATATTCTTGGTAAGATCATTTTTGGCATTGCATATATTGTTCTACAAACTAAACAAGTGAAGAAGTACAAAAATCAAACAGAAAGAAAATATACATTCAAACACAAAAGAGTCTTTCTTTGAAGGACCAAAAGAAGGTATTTATTTTTTTTAACAACCACAACAAAATGAAATTCTCATGTGAAACTGCCAACAAGAGGAAACTGGCTCCCTGGCAAAGGTGACAAAGTTTAGTTTCAGATTAGTTCGCAAAGCCACGAATGCTCATCAAATGTCATCTCAGTTTTGCTAACATCTTTTGCTTCACCCCCTGGGTCCACAAAAAAATTTACTTGAGCAAAACAAATTTGGTCATTTAAACTCATTTAACACCACCAGTTTTTCTCCCTTTGCTTAAAGGATAATGGTAGAAATCATTATACAAAACGTTAAAAATTTTTCCAAGTATGTCAAAAAAGGTATCTACTCCTTGTACATTAGTGGGAACACACATCCTTTGTAAGGGCTATAAAAGTGGTAGAGAGGAAAAAGACTCCAGTAGACATCACTAGTCATCCTTTTACAAAAATAGCTCTTCTACAGGAGTGAAAAAGAATTTGTCTTTCAACTTCAGGTGGAGAGATTTAGGTAACATTCTGCACATTAACAATAAGCTGAATTAATAGCAACCAAAATACCTTCAGTTGCAGATTACTTGACAGAGAAAGCGATTCAGTCCTGGCGATATTAAAATCTGATTCAGTGTTGCTCTCAAAAGAGTCCAATTCATCCCCACTGGGAAGCCCGGTTCCTGAGGAACTCTGAGACACTGGAGTAGAGCAAGTGTGTGGCTGCTCAGAATGTCCTTCCTCTTCACTGTTGGCAACCAGGGCATCAAAGCTGGAACTGAAGCATAGAGAAAGTGACTCAATAACCAGACAGACATAAAGATGGACTGACATTAGTCCCTGTTTAAGTTCCCATACTTTCCTTGCTGGAGGTATCATGGTTATTTATTTAATTTCCTACTAATAGTTAATAAGTTTTTATTATTTTTCCCTTGTTCCAAATCTCTTATTTCTAAACAAAATTTTGTGTTTTGCCAAAAATGAACATTTCTACCATTCCCATTGTCTAAAAAAACCAAAGTTGGTTTGAATTAGTACCAACCTCACTATTTTTGTTTTGTAAATGTAGTTATTCCAAGTCCCACACAGTAACCCTTCAAATATTGACACTGCAGACAACACAGTCATCGGGCTGATGGACACAGCCACTGGGGTGCTGTGTGTTCATAAGTGAGGTGGATTCCTCTCACCAGGTCTCCGCTGGGGAGTCAGGAGCAGAAGGAAGGAGGAATTTGTGAAGCTCTCACTTCATAGATGAGTCACAGCACAGGTCAGAAATAAATCAAACACCCAAACGTAAGTATCACTGGGTTTTCTGAGGTGAGAAACTAAAGATATAGAGATAGATAGATAGATAGATAGATAGGTAGATGCAAAGGGGTAGCAAAATGAAATATAAATAAATAGAAAGTAGGGAAAGGTAAGAAGAAACTCTATGTGGAAAAGTGCAATGTTTAAACTTCCCAGAGTCGGAAGGGAAAGAAAGAAAGGAGAGAGAGAGAGAGAGAGAGAGACAGAGACAGAGAGACAGCGAGAGAGAGGGAGGGAGGGAGAGGGAGAGGGAGAGGGAGAGAGAGAGAGAGAGAGAGAGAGAGAAAGAAAGAGAGAAAGAAAAAAAAAGAAAGAAAGAAAGAAAGAAAGAAAGAAAGAAAGAAAGAAAGAAAGAAAGAAAGAAAGAAAGAAAGAAAGAAAGAAAGA